TAACTGATTAATGAAGAATAAATTTACATATTGTTAGGATACGTACAAAGTAAACCATATTTAGGCGCTGCCCAATCGTATCCAATTTGCGTGCGCTGCCCCGAAATGCCACAAGGTGAATCAATCGAATTCCTTCACTCGCACAATTATCAAATATCGCATAAACTTTCAGTTATTATCACTTGTCAATTAGTTAATATATTCGTTCCGTTTGCTGTTGTTCTTATTTTTGTTTATTTGTCTTCTTCTTCTTTAAGCACTAACGCGATGATGAACTTTTGCTGTTCCGCACTGACTCAGCGACCGAAGCGGAATGAAAGCAAACAGAGCGTCGTGTGGCCTTAAGAATAATGAAAAGGACTGCCAGGACGACAAGGACTCACTGACTCACTGTGACTCTGGGCCCGAGCCTGTTAACTGAGCAAACGCACTGCCAGCGAGGGGTGCGGAAAAAACTACCCTTAAATTCGGTGCACTGTCTTTGGCTGATGTGCTGTGCGAGCGAGATGGCGCGATAGGACTGCCTGAGCACGGCTGGCAGCCAGAGGGATGAAGGGAGGTAGTATGACGATAGGACAGCCAAAAGGACGTTCGCCAACATCATAATGACGTTCAGATTGGATGGGACAACAACAACAACCACAACAGCAACAGCAGCAGCAGCAGCAGCAGCAGAAGCATTGACGTTACTGTAGCGCTGTTAACGTCGACGTCGGCAGCGGCAGCGACGTCAACCGCTTTATGAATTTCACACAAAATGTCGAATTGGAATAATTTACCGAGAGCAAGCGCAGAGACCGCCCCTAAAAATATTTTCTATAGGGCACACGCGAGAGCGAGCGAGATGGCGTGTGCCAGAGCGAGTGCGCGAGCGAGCGAGAGCGAAGCTGTCTTCTTAACGTCGAGTGTTGCCTTAGGTTACATCCATTCCAACTCTTGCACCTCTCCTACACCTCCCGCTCTCCCTCACTCCATCCTCTCTCTCTCTCTCTCTCTCTCTCACCCTACCTCTCTCTCTCGCTTTCTCTCTTGAGCTGGCCACGCAAAGTGGCAGCCAAAACTTGTCCGTATTCTGTTCACACTTGATTTAGGCTCCCGCCCCTCCCTTAGGGCAGATTCTGCCAGCATCTGCAAGAAGCGCAGCCAGACGACGAAATGGCAGCGCCTCTGGTCGCCCACTCGAAAGAGTTGACGTTGCTGCCCTCTTTCACTTGTCCAACCAGCCCATGCCCTCATCCCCTATCTTTCTCTCTCTCTCTCTATGTCTGTCGCTCTATCTGCGATCCTCCAGTGTGCATGCCTTTGTTATGCATTTCAATTGCCGTTTGGCATTTCGTTTTATCAGCGTCTTTGTTTGCACATCTTTCACCTTTACTCCGACGCCGTATAATGGCAATGTCTGCGGCTCCAACTCCTGCTGCTGTTCCTGCTCCTGCTGCATTTTAAATGGATGTGGGGGGGTGAGTGAGGTCCACAGCTTTGCCTCGCTCTGACTTGGTAAATATAATCTTATATTCATTTTGATGATATCTCACAGCACGACGCGACATTCTTTGATTCTGTTTGCTCTTAGAGTTTTCTTCTCGCTGGCAGCCAAGTAGCAGGACTCGGGCTACTGAGACTCTCGCTATTTCTACGGCTGCCGCTGCAGTTGAGCAACTTGTACATCCAAAAGCACAACTCTTCAGGGATACCGGAAAGGTCAAATACACACGAAACGAAAGAGAGAGAGAGAGAGAGAAACAGAGGGAGAGAGGTATAGAGACTCTAACGTGTCAAGCAGCATAGCCACAATGAGTCCGAACAGTCTGTTGCTTTATCATTTTAAACGACGGCAAATATATAGATGCAGATAGTCGCAGGAGCCGGCGATAATTGGCATCGATTTTGATTGCTAGGTGGATGTATAGCCCTTATATGGTAAATGTGCATAATACTTAAATGGCTATAAATTAGGAGGGCGGCATAAGGAGTCTTTGACTACTAATATATAGTTATTTAAATTATTTGACTACTTTTACAGTTTTATTATTCATTTGTAAATAGACAAAATATTGTTGAAGAAGAAGTCCATATTGGGTTCTATTTCATTTTATTGTATAGATCAAAATATAATACTCCATATAAGTGACAGAAGCACTAATACAAAGCATAAGTAATATATATTTATAATATACATATAGAGGACCTTATTAAAGTTTTATCAATCATTTTATTGTTGTGGAAATAAGAACTAGAATTTTGAACCTAATATTAACTTAACTTCCAATTTAAATTTTATTCCAATTTTAACTTAAACGTGGATAAAAACGTAAAAGCCGTACAAGACTGAGACATAAACCCATATTTGCAATCTAACAGAGTCCTATTACTCCATTAAATCTTTATCATTTTTATTCGCAAATTAATAACAAGAACTGCGCAATTGCTTTCCATTTAATCAAATGTGTTTTTCTAATTAAAGCCAAATTGAAAGTAAGCTAAAAGGCTAACTTTCCCATATCTACTCTAGGGTATCACACCTATCGCTGAGTATATTTTAGTCAGCCACCGCAGACCAAGTTCTTTTTTTTTACAACCTTTGCATTTGTGTTTGCAATTTACTTAGTGCTCTACCTACCCTTGCCCCTCTACGCTCGCCCATCGGCCCTCCCCCTCTGTGGCTCATCCTAGATGTCCTGCTGCACTCTGTGCTGTTACGCTTCGCATTCAAAGTTAGCATTCTCTGACTCTACACGCCCATTTCGCTATCTCTCTCTCGCTCTGTATGCGTGTGTGTGTGTCCATGTGTGTGTTTACGCCATGTTTGCACGGCCTTTGTGACCAGACGCAGGCCATTGCTGAGAGCGTCGAGCTGCACCATCAGCGCAGACTTAGAGCAATGACAGCAGGAGCAGCAGCAGGAGCCGGCAATAAGCCCCATCATCTAGTCTTCCATGTGGCATTTTGTTGTTGCCGCATGTGAATATTCAGTTTGTTTGTTTTGTTTTTATTTTATTTTTTCTGCTGAAATTCGACTCGTCATTTTTTAGAGCAGCATTAAATGTGCAACTTTTTTTTTTTTTAATACCCTCTAGCCTATGTGAACGAATGTAAAGGGTATACAGGATTAAGGCAAATTCAGCTGAGCATTAACAATCTAATCATGTGCGTCGTCCGTCTGGCTTCTGTCTGAATGAGCACA